TAACCAGTGGTTCTAGAGACTGTGGAGTCAGTATCAGAGAACAGGAAGAATTTTGAATTCCACAGTAAAAGTCTCGGTTCAAGTCCTGTTGCTGCCACTAACTGAGCATATAACTCTAGGTAATTTGCTTGTTTCTTGCTTATCAGTTTATTCTTTTATAACATAACAAGGCTGCCCTGCTGTTCTCATAATATAACATGTGAAACCTTGGGACGTGTGATTGTGCCTTTCATTTTTATTACTGTCAAGACGAGAGTGAACACTTAAGCCTTTTTGCTTCACAGTGAAGCCATGGATATGTGGTTGGGCTATAAGAAGAGACAAGGAGATAGGATATTTTCTATTTAAATTCTATTCAACTAAATTTAATTACAATTAATTTAATTCTATTTAATTTATTCTAAATTTTTTCAATATACCACTTTTCTTCACAGTGTATGATTTTGACATGTTTGGCAGAATGAAAACAGGGAGGATGAACATGGCTGGGGGCTGGGTCCGGGGAGAGGACAGGGTCTTTAGGTGAAGCTGGTTACCAGAAAAAGGTGTGTGTGGAGGTTTGGTTGAACCTTTGCATCCAGATGAGGTCTTAGCAAGACTCTCCGGCCTTTTCTGGAGAGAATAAGGGAAAAGATTATAGAACCACTATGGTTTTTAAATTTAAAAAATTTTTTTTAGTGCTGAGGAGTTTGGGAGGGGCATCTGAGGTTCCTATTAGGGAAAAGGAAGAGAACTGGCCCATAACGGAGCTTTCTCAGAAGGCAGCGGAACTGACCTAAAGAAAATGCATGCCCTGGATGATTTCATTCTAGAACACACTGTGATCCCTTTGACTGAGGTTCCTAGAAACTGAAACTTTCTTCAGTTCTATGATTTTCTGTCGGTTTTTCAACAGTTGTTCAAGTTAAATTATCCTAGAGCTGAAGAGAAAGACATGTATTTATTTAGGATCAGGCCAATAGAAGGAAAACTTGCCTTTCTAAAATGGCATGTTCATGGTCAGAGCTTGGCTGGTGCCCATGAGAAAGCAGGTGGCCCATCTTATTTTGATTTCGTGTTTGCTCTACCAGCCACTCAACCCTAATGGGCCTGTTGGGAAGACAGAGGTCAGGAGGTGCCACTTAAACCCCCTACTCTGGCTCTGTCCCTCTACCCTACTTTTATCTCCATCTCACCTGCTAACTTTTTCCAAGAGTTTCAGTTTTGCTTTAGGGTTTGTGCCCTAAGTGGCCCAAAGCTTCTCTCTAACTAAGCAGATGCCTAGGGAGGAGTCCCACAATATCTGTGGTATTCTGGCTAAATTCATTCTCAACGAACATTGATGAATACTGAAATGTTTTGGCAGATGGTAATGGATGATCTCCATTTCTTCAGATCAGCTGAGGTATTAGCCATTTTTTAAAGGACTTTATTTACTTATTTTTAGGGAGAGGCTAAGGGAGGGAAAAAGAGAGGGAGAGAAACATCAATATGTGACAGAAACATTGATGGGTTGCCTCTTACGCACCCCTGACCAGGATCTGGCCCACAACCCAGGTATGTGCCCTGTCCAGGAATCAAACCAGTGACCTTTCAGTTTGTGGGATGATGCCCAACCCACTGAGCCACACCAGTCAGAACTAGCCATTCTTTTATGATATTACTTTTATAAGGAGGTATTTTTTTAAGGTCTAAATGAATGTATATGGTTAAGTTTGGGACAAAACGTATTGCTGGTTGGAGACTGACTATATAATAGGGTGGTACCATGGTCTCCTTGGAAAATAAAGAAGCATTGAAACCAGACAACTTGGATGTGTATTTGGGCTCCTCTATGTACAGGTTATATGACTTTGGGTAACTCATGTTACCTCTCAAATATAGTTTCCTCTATGGGATTGAGATAAAAAAAAATAAGAAGGATGTGTCTTTAGTATTCTAAGGGCAACTTGTTTTAAGCCCGTAACCAACTCAAACTCAATGATCAGACTCTAGAATCTTTAATATTTTAATCAGTTAAAAGACAAGGATATCTGTGTTCAGATGAATGTTACTTTAAAACATTGTTTATGGAAGTTTTGGGCTATGTAATAAAGCAAGTCAAAAAGGCAGAAAGAGATAATTGTGGGAGGAAAAAAGCATTATAAAAAAAACTGAAATGAAAGTGATTTAGGCTCATGTAAAGAACAAACACATGAAAATAACCAGGAAAATTTAGAAAAAGTGGTTGTGGAGATATTTCTACTACCAGATATCTGTTTTAGCACATTCACATTCTGAGTACAAGCATTGACAGATGGGTCAGGGGAGCAGAAAGAGAGAACCCTGACTCTGGTACCCAGTGCTTGACTCACTGAGCACATGCGCTGTGCCAGGCATAAAGTAAGTGCTTACTGTAAATTATCTAGTTTAATCCTTACAACAAACTGTAAGATATGTATTGTTATTTCCATTTTACAAATAAACTAAGGTTTAGAAAAGCTAAAAAAGCTTACCCAGGTGTCAAAACTGACATTAGACCTCAGATTGTACCTCAAAGAAACCGCTCTCAAAGGGACTCTTATACAGATGAACCAAGAAGGAATAAGTGATTTTACCAGTTGTGTTGGGAAGAAGGCTGATAGAGTAATCAGAAATCACGTTAAGTACTCACCTCATGCCATACGTACAAAAAATTCTACACATTGAAATGAATGGATCCTAAAAGATGAAAAGATGATTGCAAGATTGGAGGGCAAGTGAAATAAAATATAAGTAACTATTTAATTGAAATTGAACAGGGGAAGATCTTTCTAAGCATAGAAGTCATAGAAGAAAGAAAAGAAATTATTGCTATATTTACATAAAATTTAAACTGTGCATCAAAAACCATTATAAACCAAATCTAAATGTAAATAACAGATTGAAAAGACAAATCAAGATATTTCTACAATTATGATATACAAATTATTAATATCTTTATTGTATAAAGAGCTTTTACAAATCAATAAGAAAACCACAAACTTCCTAAGTAAAAATAATCTAAAGCAATATACAGGATAATCATAAATTCAAAAAAACGCTCAGAAGTAAGAACAAGAAAAATAATGAAAATTCAGAATAGACACCATTTTCACTGTGAAAATGTTAAGCTACATTGGTGAACGTTTGAGAAATAGGAACCAATCTGCCCTGCTAATTGTCCTTTTCATGGGCAAATTATAAACATGGAAAAAATTTATGCCTTTTCTTCAGAAATTTTATTTTCGTAAATTTCATTTAAGGACATTAGCAGATAAAATGTCAAGATTTTTTACAAGCATATTATGATGTTAGATTCACTACACAAAAAGAAAAACAACTTATATAATAAATGTTAGAAAATGTTTAAACAGATTTTCCCTTGTGAATATGAAGACTAGGATACAATTATTAAGATTGTGTTTTAAAGACTATCATATCTAAACATGATTCATGGTTAAGAGACAAAGGCAAGATATAGTGGATACATGGCACAATCCTAATCTCATTTAAAAATCCTTGTGTGTAGGACTGTATATATACAAAGGAAACAGCAGAAGATACTAATTTTGTTCTCAGTGATGTGATCATGATTGGCTTTTGTTTTTTTATGTTTTTCATATTTTCTCCAATGACTACATATTGTTTTTATGGTTAGAAAATGTTACTGAAGTTACTGAAGTGACCATTTTGTTACTAAAGTACCATATTTTTAGACCATAAGATGTACCTAGGTTTTAGGGGAGGAAAATAGGGGAAAAATTTTGAAGCAAAAAATGTGGTAAAATATTTAATAACATAAATAATATAATAGTTCACCAGTGTAAATGTAAACAGAACTCAACAGCAGCATTAACAATCATTATTCCTCCTGAATTGGGGGGGAGGGGGTGCATCTTATAGTTTGAAAAATAAGGGAAACCAAGAAGTTATTGTGAAAGTTAAATAGGAACGTGTGGCTGAGATAGCAAGAATAAAGTAAGGTTTTAGAAATGTTTATTTTCTTCTATTTTCTTTATTGGAACCTCAAAGAGAAACTTCAAATTTCAGATTTAATTCTTTATGACTTGGTAGTGGATTTATAAAAACTGAAAAGATCAAATAATTTTTGAGGTGTCAATTTATATAGCTTTGGTTGCATTGAATTAACTAGTGCAAGCTGTGTTACAGCTAAATGTACAAAGTAGATTTTTCCTTTCTTCACATTTTATGTATTTAAACTTTGGTGCCAGTTGGAATAATTTACATCTTGCACATGGTACTGTGTTGTAATCAATAATGCGTTTTTGCCAGATGGAATAAAGGTAGCATTGTGTAGAAGTAGAAAGTCAGTCCTAACCTTCACCTTGAAGTACCTTTACTCAGAGTGGTGCTTATTTCTTATATGTATCCTTTAATAAAATTATAGGTACCATATTATCCCTTGCATAGTCAGGGTTTTGGCTTTTACATGCCTTATTTTGGACCTCAATAACCAATATTTAGTGTAATGGAGTTGGAGAGAGAAAATGGGCTTGTCATAATAAATGCGAAGGAGAATGGTATGGGAAAGTGTTTTACTATGCCAGTGTTTTCACAAAGAGGAAAATAATTTTTGCATTACCTTTATTATAAAGGTTAGAGTTGTATGTCATGGGCATATTTATTTTAAGTTCAGGGTCATATTTTTTGTGTATTTGGCAACTTCATGTCTAAAAATTCTATTCAAATAATTGTTTTTGTTACAGTTGTCCCTCTTCTTTCCCCACTGCTCCCCACTCCCACAGTCATTCCCCCCCTTTGTCCACACCCATGAGTCCTCTATTCGTGTTCCTTTAATTTCTTTATCATGTAGTTACCTAAGTATTTATTGCAGACTTCTTTTACTATAACCCATCATATTTCTTATTTTTGTGTGTGTTCTCTTTTAAGACACTTCCTATGTTCTTAAGCCCATTAATAATAAGCATTTGTGAACTGCCACCATAGTAAGTATATTACCCTGTTTTATGTTTGCTAAATGTTTGTTTCTTTGTTTTTAGGGTGACTACGGATCCTACTATTCACGAAGTTCTAGAAAGGTAAGGAAAATTTACAGTGAACTAATTAAATATATTATTTTTGGCTTCCCTTCTTTGCTGTAATTATAAACACGGACTCATGAATTTTTAAATGAAATGCAACTTATTAGAGTACAATTTGAAAACTTTTGTAGTTTTGCCTAGTGGGGCCACCGGGTCACCTGGACACATGCTCACAGTAGGGTGGTGCCTGGAACTTGCTCACTATAGTCTGCATCTGGTCCTCAGCTGTGCAGCTTGCGGTTTGATCTTATGGCGTGTAAGGGTAGCCATGTCCCCTGAGACTGACAGCATCAATTTTTCCATTTACAATGCCATGAAAACCTAATGTTTGGTTTAGTTCATTGGTACATTCTCTCTCCTATTTGAAAAGCCTGCATGGGAGTCCCATTATGATCAGCCATTTGCTTCTAGATCTGGAATTAGAACAAGGAGAGCCAATGTGATAATTTTAATAGTGAGAGACTTTATAGCCCTGATAACCTCATGTGTCTCACCTTGGGGGGTATTCTGCTCAGTGGGCTGTGCAGGCACCTTTCCACTAAACAGCAATGAGTAAATGCTGCAGCTCTCCCTCTCAGGTTCCCATTTTGCGGGAGCCCCCACCATTCACCTTTCCATATGCTCAAAGCATCCATTGCTCTTTCTGCTTTTTTGTCTGGGAGCTGGCCATTCTTTTCAACTGGCAGGCTAAGATAAGGGTTAGGTCAGACTACAGTTGGATATCAACTCTACTAGTCTTGGATAAGGTACTGAATTGTTCTATGCTCATTTGCCTCATTTGAAAATGGGTTAGTAATAGTATGTACCTCATAGGTTTGCTGTGACATAAAGCATTAACTCAGCAACAAGAGAAAATCTCAGTAAATATCAAATAATGTAGTTCATGCTATTATGACTTAATGGTTTTTCTAAAGCAACTTCTGCATTTGTATGTATAGATTCATATCTATGAATATGATGGTCAATCATAAAAGAAGTCTAGAAAATGCTGAGGTTGAATTATGTGAAATTGCCATTTTGGTATGGCAAAAATAGTTAAAACACCAGCTACTCCATATGGCTAAACCCAATAACAATTAACTTATAATTCTTTTTTCTATCTATGAAAACTTTAGTTCTTTTGTTTCTTTAACATATATTAATTCTGTAGTTCTTTGAAATGTAGGTGCACTTGAATTATTTTCCTTAAATGATGTTACTTTTTTAATTGTTATTCAGTGAAATGGTAGAATAGTACTGATTGTCTTGTCATGAACTACTAATAAGAATGATGATATAGTTTACTGAGAGTCTTATGTTGGTTCAGTAGTCATTTCTCTTCATGTTACCAGCAGGATTCAAGCTCTGCAGGATGTGGGATGTTGCTGAATGTTATTTGTGTGATTAGTGATAAGCTAAAGCTAGGTTCACCTGAGTTGTATACTTAATTCCATCTTACCCATGCATAATATGTTCAGCCTCTTGAAGAATGTTTGCATTTTAGGGAATATTTTCTTTTTCAATAATTTTAAGGGGTAAACATATAACTATTTTTTTAAGTTAAAAAATTGAATTTCCAGTTAAATCATTGAACCAAAGCATAGACCTAGTTAGTGGGTACACAGACTTCAGCAGAAGTTTGTGTAATTCAAAGCTAAGTTGGACTTTTGTATGTCTGCTCTAAAACTCTCATTTTATATAGTTGGATAATTAGAAATCTTAAGAGGTTGTCTGAAATAATAATGGCAGAATCAAAACAGAAATGGGGCCGTGTCCAGGTGGGTCATTTGGTTGGAGTGTCATCCTGTGCACCAAAAGGTTGCGGGTTCAATCTCCAGTCAGGGCACATGCCTAGGTTGTGGGTTTGATCCCTGGTCAGGGTGTATATAGGAGGCAACTGATCAATGTTTCTTCTGTCTCTCTCTTCCTCTCTGTAAAATCAGTAAACATATCCTTGGGTGGGGATTGAAAGAAAAAAAAATAGGTATTTTCCATCTGCTCCCATTCCCACTGTACTTCTAGGATTCTGTGCCTGCTCAAAAGCATTTTCTGACCATGTTTTAGAATTTTAAATTCTGTATAGTTACTAATTGATACCATTTTTATAATGAATGAAAGATGGATTTCACCAATAAGAACAAAAATATTTGTTGTCTCAAGACTGAAGTACTTTATTGTTTTAAACCTTAGGTGAGAATGAAAGAACTCTTCACGTGTAGATTTAGGACTTTTCTTGTTCTACTTTGATTATGTAGTTGTGCATGGCTCAGTATCCTTTATGTAGTCTTTAGCCATTCCAGAGCTTCTGGAATGAATGTGTGGTCCTGCTTCCTTCTTTTATATGTGGTTGAAGTGTTACTGTAATACTGACTGGTGCCCATGGTCATGAGACATGAGGCAGCTGTTGGGAATGCCAGGCTCGCATGATTTCTCCAGAGACTCCAACACCACCATTCATTTAGGTGAGTGATTGAACTGACCGGAGCAAAAAGAGGCAGGGAGTTGATGTCTTTTATCCCCAACATGAAGGGTTTCTTCTATTTCACACTTTTGGCATCTTGCAAGTGTATCTTCCGGCCTCTGTCTGGTTTGTGTATGAACTCAACTGCCCTGGTGCATTGGAACCCTGACTGGACTCTCAGCTGAGTTTGCCATCTTTCTTTCTTGTCACAGTTTCGAAGAACACACCAGAAGCAGAGGTCTGAACTCCAAACAGTTCCCTCACTGTTTGGCATCCACCTCTGCTCCTCCAGCTCCAATCACCTAATCACTTTGCTGGCAAAATTATGTCTGGGGCCTCAGGAGGCAACACAGAATCCTTGTCATTGGATTCCCTCACCCAGTTAAAATATTAAAGTCCTCCTCGGGGTAGAGATGAGGAGATATGATGTCATAGTGCACAAATTAAAGGGGTGGTTTGGATAAATTCTGAGTTCAGTGAGGTACGAAGGGTGTCAACTAAAGTTGAAGGAAATCCATTTATGTCTGGTATCTGATTCATTTCCCCCCACTACTTTGATTATATGTTTTTATAGAATATGAATCAAGTGGCAGCATTTAAGAAACAGACTCGCTTTTAAACTCTTGTATGCCAAAGGCAGGCCTTTGATTTAGATGTTTGTAAATGTGACTTGACATTTAAAGATAGGTGTGCTGTCAGAACATTCGTTTTATTTAATATAAAGGATGAAGGAAAGCGTGAGCCTCTCTGATAGAATTCTTTTGTCTTTGAACTCTGGAATATGAGTAATCAGGAATAGGAGTGCATTGTGTGAGGCGCAGTCTGAATCCTCCTGACACACAATTCTAAGAACTGTCAGAATTGACTCATGCCCAATTTAAGGGTATGGGTTACAATGAGACTGCCTAAAAATACCTGGATGGTTCCTGTTACTTGCAAAGGTTTGTTTTCACTTTACATTCAGAACAAATCAGAGCTGTCACAATGCAGACGTGATGCCCTGAAGGGCTTTACGTGGAGACACTGGTTTTGTGTCAGGTTCAGATGTAGAATACACGGGCATTTCACTTAGCCTCAGGATGGGTCTGACAGCTCAGACACGACTTTCTTTTCTCTTTGCTGCTTCACATGGGATCTTCTTGAATGTATGTGGCCACTAGGAAGAAGACTCCCACTTTCTTTAGAATATCAGTTCTAAAACACCTTTTGCTGATACTCAAAGAAGACATTTTTTGCTTTGATTTTTCTTCTCAAGAGAATAATATTATTGTAGGCCCATTAAAAATTTGTGTTAGGAATATAAGTGTGTGTGTGAGTGTGAGAGAGAGAGAGACAGGGAGAGAGAGAAGGAGACTGATTTAGAAGATTAAAAAATAATATCACTTAATCAAAATAGTTATAAAAGTATATAGTTTACCTATATTAAAAATCATCTTATAAATATGAACTCATTAATTAACTAACATCTAATTATCACATGCAAGTACTGATATCAGCTCAGAACCCATGAGCTTAGAATCCTGGCTCACCATACCAAAAGATCTATAACCCAAAATTATAAATCTCATGCTCTCAGGAAACAATGCTGTCCTTCTGCTCATGAGAAAATCTACGTTCTTAGCTAATGCTTTGTTTTCCAGAACCACTACAAAGTTGCTACAATTTCAGAAATGAAGTCTAACCTCACAATATTTTCTCAGACAGTTGATGGCAGGTGTTTACGATCTGCCCAAAGGTGGAGGGATAAGCCATTTAATTGTTTCATGTAAAAATACATTTAGAGACCAGCCATAAAAATTGTACTCAGTAAAAAAGAATCTTTTTGCAAAAGGGTTCCATCCTGGCTTTTCTTTGATCACTAATGAGACAGACCTTTTTTTTCCATACTTAGTAAACATTTAACTTCTTTTGTGAATAGTTTGTCTGTTTTGGGGTATTATTTTATTAGGGTATTAATGTTTGCTTGTTAATTCACATGAGGATTTTATGTATTAAGATTATTAGTCTTTTAGCTCCATTGGTGGGAAATATTTTTCTAGAGTTTCTTTGCCTTTTAATTCTTTCTATTTTGTTTAACTTGCAAACTTTAATTTAAAAACTTGGTTAAAAAACACGTATCTTAACTATGGTGGAATTGTTAACCATAGAAATTTTTAGGCACTATTTTAGATTATATATTTTATTAAAAAATCAAAAGGTGGCAAATATGGCTGCAAATGTAGTCTGGAGTCATGTTAGGGGCTTTAAATTCTCAACTAGGGCAATAAACCTAGTGTAGGTGTGCTTCATATGAAAGTGGATGCAGTTGTGATTACCGTGTGGCAAGATCTCAGTGCTTGTTAGTCTCTGAGGTAGTGGGGGAGATGCCAAGTGACCCGGACAGAGTCATCTTATTTCAGTTAAAAAATTTCCACGGAATCCCTTCGTGGCAGACCTTTTTAAGGATTTATCCATATCACATCCAAACCCATGGTCATACCTGTAAGATTTCATATGTAAACATGTCTTAACTGAGTGTCTGGATCTCAAATTAGTACCCTGGCATTCTAAGGTAAAT